GCTGCAAGTATCTTCATATACGACACAATAGGTCTTTTTATTATATGAAGAAAATTGATGATTGCCTGCACAAGAACTCATTTACTAATAATGCGTGGAAACATAAATGGGGTTCTAATCACGACCTTTTTGTGAGAGGGCTTAATGATTTGACACTTTTGATGCCACCTCAGTTGCCAATATTTAGAAATCTGTCTTTTGTAAAGGCCTTTAAAAGCATTAGAATGTAGAAATCAAAGAGACAATAAATTTTAAACCAATCTTATTGTCTGCAGCCTAAAGTGTTATTAAGATCAAAGTGGGGAAAACATCTGGCATTTGCTCCACTGCAAAAAATTAGACCCAATCATCTCCCGTTGCCATCTTGCAATCCAGTTGCCAAGTTCTCTCTCCGTCATACGTACAGCTTGATCTTTCCTTTCCCTTTGACAGCTTTAATTTTGCAAAGTCTCACTTTTTCATACATCTGGATTACAAACAAATAAAAGAATACAATCTAGAAATAGTGGCCTCACTTTTCAACTCTTTTCAAGAGCCCTTCAAAATCTTTTAAGCCCCAAACAGAGATTTCTTCCTCTTTCTTCTTAGGCGATCACTCGTAGCCGAGTAAGATTGTCTTCCATAAACATGGTTTTAACAATGAGTCTGTACGTGACTGTGGAGGCCAATTCTGGATCCACACGTCCTTCCACAGTGGGGACATTGGTTTCTGGGCAGGAGTTGATCATGGTGTGGATTTGCCAAGCGTGCCTTCCTCTTAGCACATTTCTCCCTTGCGTCCTAAGTTCGAGTGTCTTCAAAGCCCATGACACCTTTGGTAAAGGCTGTTCTCCAACTGGAGCGCTCGCAGGCCAGTGTTTCCCAGTTGTCAGTGTTTATACTACATTTTTTTAGATTTGCCTTGAGACAGTCTTTAAGCCTCTTTTGTTGACCACCAGCATTACACTTTCCATTTTTAAGTTCGGAATAGAGTAGTTGCTTTGGAAGACGATCATCAGGCATCCGCACAAAATGACCAGTCCAACGAAGTTGATGTTGAAGAATCATTGCTTCAACAAAGGTTTAGCCTGCAATCGTATACCCATTTTCTTGGAAGTAAGCTCTGTTGAACTCAATGGGATTCACTTCTGAGTAGACTGGCATGGGATTGCCATGAGTTCGTTGGTGACTATTGTTACTCAGTTATACTTACCTGGTGATTATTTGTCTGTAGTTTGAATTACCTAGCCTGCATCAAAAGTGGATGGAACATACTTACTTGTGTACGTATTAATTCTGCCATTTGTGTTGATGTAACCCTCTAGAACATACTTTCTATAGCTAAGCATTTAGCTCTATCATCAGTACATTGTATTTTATTTTATTGCTAAGACTAGTGACTGATGCAAACAAAGATTCTATGTGTCTACTCACTTACCTGGGCAATGTGTGTAAACCCCATTTGAACACAATGCACTTTGCTTCCAAGTCAATATGTACTTGACTTCATGGTCTGCACTGTAAATACCAGTATTTATGTTCTGGACAAAAGTATTTTAGCCTATACGAGCAATTATTTATTTTAAATTTCTTCAATCATTTTTCACTTTACAGTGGTACCTCAGGTTAAATACTTGATTCATTCCGGAGGTCCGTTCTTAACCTGAAAGTGTTCTTAACCTGAAGCACCACTTTAGCTAATGGGGCCTCCTGCTGCTGCTGCGCCACCGGAACACGATTTCTGTTCTCATCCTGAAGCAAAGTTCTTTACCCAAGGTACTATTTCTGGGTTAGCAGAGTCTGTAACCTGAAGCGTATGTAACCTGAAGTATATGTAACCCGAGGTACCACTGTATATGCCTATATTTGTATGTCTGTTGTTTTGGTACTGTGTGGCCACACACTGCCAGAGATGCATTTATTGCTATTCCTTCAGAGATAGGAAGTATGTGCCTTTATGGGTGGAAATACGTTAATTCAACACGTGACTCTTTCCATCACCCTTTTAAGAGCCAAACCATCCACCATGCTTCTTTGAAAGCAACTTTCCATCCATGGAAATGGCCACAACAATGCTGGGCAGGACTTCACATGGATGCTGATTCATTTGTGGAAAAAATGGTCTTAATTGCATGCACATTCCAAATGGATTGACGCTCACATCATGTCCTCTCCTACATCTGATACTACTGTTGATAAAGTATGCCAGGGAGACTGGCTCCTACTGCTTGTATACAAAAAGGCAAGCAGGAACTGTGACATATGTAATAGTAGAAGCCCCCCCTCCCCCCCCAAACTAAGGAACTCTGAGACTTACAGTTGCACATTCCACTTTGCACATAGGATGGTACATATTTTTCTCTCTCAAGTTACAAAACCTGCTGTTTCGCATTAAAGTTTGCTTAAGCATCCTGAAGTATGGCCTACAACAGTGGTTCCCAAACATCAGTGTTTAAAAGAGGAGCAGGGAAGCTGCTTCAAAGTCTACTTTTGCAAGAGGCGTCAAGACAGCCCCTGCTTCCATTTGTGCCTCTGGAGGCTCAACTGGGAGAAGAGGAAGAAGAGTTTGGATTTGATATCCCGCTTTATCACTACCCGAAGGAGTCTCAAAGCGGCTAACAATCTCCTTTCCCTTCCTCCCCCACAACAAACACCCTGTGAGGTGAGTGAGGCTGAGGGACTTCAGAGAGAAGTGTGACTAGCCCAAGGTCACCCTGCAGCTGCATGTGGAGGAGCGGAGACGCGGACCCGGTTCACCAGATTACGAGTCTACCGCTCTTAATCACTACACCATACTGGCTCTCTGGGAGGGGATCATTGTCTTAAAGCCTTGGCAAGTTTTTGTATGCTGGGTCCATGACATTTGGGGGTGGGAAGGAGAAGGGATCCTCAAAGATTGGGAACCACCTGGTAACAGATTTGCACTATAATGTTGGTGAATTTTGATGAGGACTTTAAAAGAAAGCATGCAAACTGATGAGAAAACATGGAGAACTGAACTGAAAAATGAGAAACTGGAAGAAAGCAAAATGGGCAGATTTCACCCATCCTTTCAGTAGCTTTCACTGCTACTGCCTCAATAGCACACCTTGCCTCAACTACATCTTCCAACTCAGGGCATCTGGCTGCATGTCTCTAACTCAATCACTATATTGTCAGCATATATCTGCTTTTGAATGTTTAATTTAAGAAATAAATGCCAGTGTTTTTGTTAGGAACCACTGCAAATGTTCTGCTCCAACTGATTCATCCCTGAATGATGTGACTTTACATCTGTATCAAACAAAAGATGAAAGAGACATCTTAGAAATGTTCCTGTTTTACTGTTAATCAAACCATTCTCCTTTTATGTCAGTATATTTGTCTTTCACATCTTCTTGTAATTACTTAAAAGGGACGTGGTTATAAATATTGTTTCCAATCAGATGGGAAAATAATGAAAGCACAATCAAGCAGCAATTAAAAAAACATTGCCCCTCCCACCCCCACCATCAAAGCTTAGCTGAGAAGTCAGCCATTTGCCATATGGGGTATTATGTGGAACCCTATTAAAGTCAACAGTTCTTAATCAGCAAAGTCAGCTAACTGGACTTCAAATGCCATTATAGATATTCATGACGATTCCCTGCTTTTCTGTACATGGATTTGGCATAGACAGGACAGCCATTTACCAATACAGGTGACCACTTAACAAGTTGAAGATTAACACTGTGTGTGTGTGTGTGTGTGTGTGTGTGTGTAAAAACTGGCTTGATATTGAAATCAAAATGTAGGCACTGGTTTTTTTAAAAAAAATCATGTTTGCTTTGACAGGAGCGAGCCAGCAGTAAATCACACCAAGCAAGCTGGTGTTAACTTCACTAGCAAAACTGAGATCTGCACAGGAGTGCCGTGCCTAATGAGCAAAGCAACTCAACTTGGGTAGGTCTTGCCCCCATGAAGCAGTTGATGGGACTGAAGGTCCCCACCTACTCACAGCTGTCAAAGTTCCCTCTTTCCGGGGGTTTTCCCAAGCAATCTGATATTGCTCCTGCACAAAACTAACTTCTCTGGCCAGTTCATGGGAAACCAGAGTTCTGGGAGACCAGAGGGGAGGGGAGCTGGTCACAGCAGGAGGTGGGAAACACCATAGTCTGCCCCAGCCAGACTCATCTCTGCCTCTTGGACTCCCTCTTCTGCTTCAGCTTCTGCCTCTGGACTGCTCTCTGCCACAGACTCTCCCTGCTCATTAAGCCCTGTTCCCTCTTCAGCTTCTGACACCTCCCAGGCTTCTCCCTCTGAGCACTCATTGTTGTCCCACCACCAATCCACAGGCTCTCAGCCTTCTTCCCCATGCGGCTCCCCAGCTGGTTCCTGCCACCATTCTTCTGTGTCCAACCACTTCATGACATTGTTGCATAGTCTTAGGTGGCTATGGGGATGTCACGAAGCATGTCTGCAGTTTAGAATTCACCGCTGCATCACTGCTAAGAGCTTTACGAGCTACCAGTAGCTGCAGTTCCCAGCAGTCTCCCATGGCATGGTCAAGAAGCTTCATTGCAGACAGAGGGTTCCCTTGTAGCAGCTGCTGGGGTTTTGTGAAAGGTGTTGTCCCAATTCATAAACACCCACAAGGCTAAAAAGAAACCTGCTGTTGTACTCAAGTAACCTCCCGCTTCATCCCATCTGTTCCCAGCATGTTAGGCAAGAGGAAATGGGGCTTGGGATATGGACCATGTAGGAATCTGAAGAGCCCCAGGAGGATACTTTGGTTTTACCTTAATTGCATACCAAGTTAGGAAAGTATGTACAGGAATCTTATTCCACGCTTTCCCCAACTTGTCCAACTTGTACCATAATCCTGTTCCCTTCCTTGTGGTGGCTGGATAAATCCTTACCACTGTTCTTGGCTGTCTTGTGAGATGCAGCTAAAGCCATTATGCCAAGAATGGGAATTGGACATTTCTGCCTCTCTCATATTTACCCATTTGAAAATCCAGTTCTAAAACTTGCAATTTCATTTTAGCCTGTAATTCAACATATATATTTTTAAAAAACATGTTTATTATAGCAAGTGAACAAACTGTTGGCAAGTTACAAAATCAAAGTTGTTTGTTTTTAAACAGCTTTTGCATTGTGAAATTCTACAGAACACACAGCAGCTTGGGTTCCTCTTCATTGTTTTATAAGAAAAATTCAGATTTAAGTACAGTACATATGGTTTGATTTGAAATCATTTGCAGCTACATCTTTGGTTTCCTTGAAACCTGAAAAATCAATCATAAATGACCTGCCTATGAAACCAACATATATATTTTTCTGAAGAGGGATCTTCTATTATTCTTTCTTAGATAACCAACTCCACCTTGCTATAAACCTTAAATTGTTTTACAAGTTGTTGCTTCAAAAATGTGCTGTATGAAAAGTTAAAACTTTTAAAAAGCCAGAACTATATATTGCTTGGTGAGAGCTGTATATGAATTATAGGAAGAGAAACAAGAATTAACATAAAGTCCCCAAGAGTTCAGAAGGCAAAGGGAATGCTTTAACCTTGATACCTTCTAAGTAGTAGTTAGTGGAAAGCTCTCTGATCATGTGGAAATGCCAAAACCATTAAATATCTTCCTGCTTAACTATTCACATTCCACACAGTGGAAATTTTCTCCTGTAACTCAGAAATCAGGCTTTTAAAAATTATCTACACAGAAATAAATGTATGATAATACCTATTAAAAAAGATTGCAGTGGGTGATCCTGATATGGGCTAATATGCAAGTTTGCAATTTGTTACTGGTATAGATGAAGGCAGTAAAAAAACATTTGCATGTGAAAGGATGCTGACAGGCATCTGGCTATGCATGATCATGCTTGTCAAGGTCCCAGTGAACTGGGGGGTTTTATAGAAAGAGGTATCCCCTAATTGTTATGCAAGGGACTACAACTTAATAGAGGAATAAGTAACTAGAGGATACAGCTATAGCCTCTAAAACAAGATGAAACATTTAAAAAGAAGAAAAACAGTTGTTGACTTATCCTCTAAAGATGGAACAAGAAGCAATACAGCTAAATGATAAATGGGTAGTTTAGGTTATAAATATGGGTTGTTTTATTATGGTATATTTGAGGACTGTGTGATATGTCAAGAGCCAGAATGCTTCTTATATGAATACATTTGCTTATTAAGCAGACACGTTATTGGCAGGCTCCTCGTTGTTACAGACAAATAAGTGTTTTATTTCTATAAATACCTGTCCTCTCCTTGTGGCATGAACCACAAATTGCCTACTGTGCATAGACAGCTGGTTAATGTGTTCATACTTTCAAAAGCCAGTCTATCTGTCCAGGGGCTTCAACAATATAAATAAAGGCCAGAAGTTTACAATGGGGATGGAAACAGAGGTGGCCACATCTGTATATGTAAATAAAAATAAAGCAAAGGGGAGGCACGAGAGGTGGTACCCTATCATACATAGGGGGAACTGGTCAAAGATGAATTCAGCTACAAACCATGTAATAGTAATACATAATGAATTTTACACTTAAAAACCATTTTTCGCTCTCAAGGCTGTTCTGTTCTGTTCTGACAAAAGGCAATATTCACCATATATTACTGCTACATGTTTATACATGAATGGACTGTTCAAGAGCTGTTCAAAGAAAAGGCCCTTATATTCAGTAAATGCTGAAGGAAAGACTGAGCACTCTGCCACACGCCCAGCCCCGCCCCCAACAGCACCTAAAGTTTAGCAAATCCAAAATCAAAGATAATATGGATAAATGCAAGGTAAATGGCCAAGGCAGTACATCCTTTGGGCCGGAGACTAAGCAGCATCTATCACACAGCTCCTATTGAAGCTCTGAAATATATAGCTTTGTATGCTTATTGCATTTGAAGTCCTAAACGATCACTGTAGAATTGTGCTTTCTGTGTTAAGCTGAATTACCTGATAGTATAATGGAGATAGAAAAGATGTGCACACATATACATTAACAGATTTTAGACAAATTATTACGGCAAACCTAAAAGCTAATGATGGAATTAAACACTACAGTTATAGTCAAAGAATGCAGCATCCCAAGACAATTACTTAACTAAAAAATGTTTTTAAAGTACATTCAAAGCATCAGTAGAGTCATTATGCACGTTGCCTTCCCTTGTTGCTCTTAATTCTTGTACTTTCTCATTTTTTCCTTGCCCATTAAAGTCTTCTAATGCTAGTGGCTGTGTTTTTCGATCCAAACAAAGCTGCTTCTGAACATTCATTCCCAATTATAATTGCACCCTTTACTGAACACTATTTACAAGGGGCATTTCTGTAAGTCTACTACTGCATCCCTGTTAACATTTTGTTCTAAGAAATAACACTGGACCTAGAGAACATCAACGCTCTCACTTGCAACAGGTACACAAGTCAATGGCACAGATGCTGGTGGAAAATGGAAGCGCAGGAACCCCAGCACACAGGTGAACTAGTGAGATACTGACCCTAGGAATAGGTGACAACTTGCACTCCAAGTAGTGGTGCTATTCCATATGCATGCTTTTGTAATTGATGTATTGGCATTCACACTTGCACACAGATACGCATACATTGTTTTTGTTGCAGTTCTCTATTGTTTGTGTCCCATTCAGACAGATTGGGTTTCGGGCGTCTGTAGTCAAGGGCAAGAACTGGAACACCCATTGTGGTGCCTCCTAATCCAAGTCTATGGATATACAGCGACATTCTTTAACTCGCGTGATCCTCTTTTTCTTCCTCGGGGGCTGAAGCTCCGGGCAGTTCAGTGTGACAGACATGGTGGTGAGTTTCTTAGGTTTGCAAAAGGAACAGGACTGGAAGGAGCCTTCCTCTCTGTGGATATGCCTGGGGATGTAGAAGGAATTGCACTGCCCGTAACAGAACTTGTTGATAATGGTGTGGCTGTGGCAGCCTTCCTCGTGGATGGTTTGCTTCAGGGAATGCGTCTTGCACCAGTCCCGCTTCAGGTACTGTCGCTCAGTGACGTGCAGCGCCTCTTGGCTCGACTCCAGCACCTCTTCAGCAGATGGAGGCTTGATTCTGTCCTTGCCACGGATCCTGGCGCCCGACTGCTGCGGTGGCGACGGCGGCTGCTGCGGCTGTTCCGAATCATTGGGTTTATCTTTGTCAGGCGGGGGGATGGCGCCCTGGGCTCCACGGTTCCTCTTGCTCCCCTCTGCGGTGGGCAGCAGAAGTCCAAACAGAAGGAGGACCCCAACTGTAGAAACTGTGCGACTCATCCTGGGGAGAAAGGATATATCTATTTCACATGGCATCAACTAAAAAGTTGCAGACAGTGCATCACATCACCCTTATCCCAAAGCTAGTGAAAATACCAACCTTCCTCTCAGGAGTGGGAGAAAAAGGACAGGGAGTAAAGCAAATCCCTCCTCTTTCAAATCTAGCAATTTGAGAGATTCCAACCTGTATGGAATTTCCCTCAGATAAAATCTGGAAATGCAAGGGCCAATTTTATCACAGGAGACTGCCAACAGAAAAACCTGGCTCCTAGTTGCCACTGTCTGAACATGTCGTGTATATGACATAAGCTACAGAATCAGCTAACTTGACCTAAACTGGAAAACGGGTTTGTATTTGGACAGAGACTGTCCTTCCAGCATGAGGATACCTGGCCATGCAAGGCTTTCAAGGTTAAAAGCATGCAGGAAAATAGAGAAACTGGCACAGAACAGGTTAAATATGTGCCCATATCCCAACACCAGTTAGGACACTTAACAGCTGCATCCTGCATGGTGTAGAAGGCATTGCAATGAGTTACAGGACTGTCAGGGAATACTATGTGAAATTCATCCATTTATGAGTCTGAGTTTTCCATATGTAATTAGAAGCTTTGTCAAAGGGATGGTCAAAGCAATTCATTGATAGTTATGTTCTCATAAGAGATTTGGATTTTCAAAGTACATTGTCAGTTCTGAAGACTTAGCTGGAACAGATTTTTGCCAGCTGCCCATCATATAATTCTATTAGTTGTATGCTCTTATAATTATATTGAAAATCACTTTATCAACCTGTGACATCATATCTGATTCTTTGATTTGTTTATGTCATACTGTGTGTTGTATCAGTTTGTAAACTTGGCATTTATTTTTCTGAGTTGTACCCAAGGGGTTGGACAAAGGGATGGTAGGCTCAGGAAACCAATTTTCTCCCTCCCCTCCTCCCACCTGTAGTCCCTAAAAAGCCCCTGCTGAGGCTCAGGAGAGATTTACTGAACACTGCAGACTGTGACTTAGAGGGTGGTAGTGGAAGGAGGGCAAAAGGCCTAAAACTAGTAAAAAAAAATCTTGTACTCCTCACACAAAGTTCCATGCTTCCGGAGATTCTCTCCTCCCACAGTAGCCCCACAAGACATCCCATAATGCTCAGAAGGTCACCCTCAAGATTCTGAAGTGGGGGTGTGCACACTCAGGGGACTGAAGAGGGAGGAAAACATCAGTTGTGGCAGCTGCCTTTCACTCCTGCAACATGGATTACAACTGTGTCATCGTTTTTGAACTAGTTCAGTTATATTATTTTGTACATTTGCAATAGGACTCATTTTACAGTCAGAAAACAAGAGCCCACCTCTCTGTCGCTGAGAGACGAAAAGGCCTCTCCTGATCAGTTGCAGATGGAAAAGGCAACAGCTCTGACCCGGTTTTCTGGAAGCAAGGGATTTTCCAGAACCAAGAATTTTCCTCCCCTACTCTTTAACTCTAGGGCTGGATAACAGATTTATTTTTATTTAAATACTTATATTATGTTTAAGTTTGCTGTGATCATTTTGCAGCAACACTCAATGAGGGAGACCTCATAACAACTATGTAGATTCTAAGCCAATGTACTTGGAGGTTGAAGAAATAGAAGCTGAACATGTTGGCAGTATAAAAGACTTGAGTGTTCCAACTTAGTGTCATTTCAAACATACAAATGATGACTAACAATTCCATTACACACTTCCACACACGCACACTGAACCTGCTCAAGAAACATAGCCATGTTCTTGCCTGAAAGTTCTAGCTTGCAATACTAGAGTAAATAAATATAATAGGAACCAGTAAGTATATTCCTACTTCAGGAACATTCACAGAGCAAAGCACACATTTTAGGGGGGAGAGCCTGCATACCTTCGTCCCATTTCCAGAAGAAAGTTTTTGGTGTAGGCTTTCAAAGGGCTCAGTACTGACCTAGACCAACCTCTCTTCTGTTAAGTTCAATAGCTGAAACCTGAGCACTTTTGAGTAAAGGCTCTATTTTAAATCCATCATTAGACCACAGCTCTGAAGGAAATCACAATGAAAGCGAGATGGTCTATGAGGAGTAAGAACACCAATATTGCTATTAGCAACAATTACCTAAAAGCCTTCAGGACAAAGCTCATATTTTGGGTTTGCATAGCAGACAGCATTGGCAGTCAAGGACTCTTAAATTAAAGGTTTGGTGTGTGTTTATATATGATTATATATTGAAAATTCTGTCCTGTGTTGTCTGCTTTTGAACTACTTCTGTGTAACCAATGAATACAAAAGATTAAAGGTGAAAGTGGTCACTTCACTAACAAATCAACTCAATGGCTTGTGTTCGTCATAGTGCTAAGGCTAGGCACCTCCCACTCATCCCAATATTTTCTGTGGGTTATCCCCAATCCTTCAGAGCCATTTTGGATACATCATATTCAATCCAGCCATTACTGTATTGTCAGAAAACATCCCCACCTAAGCTGTAAAAACTTCTCAGTTCCAAGCAGATGATTGAAGAACTGCAAAATGCAGTGGGTTAGGCAACTGAATGGTGATGCAAGGCAAGGACATCACCTTCCTTAGGTACCACAAACTGAAGTGATTTGAAAGAGAATTGACTCCACACCACTTGCTACTTTAGATATTATGTTTGTGGGCTGCCCCCATCTTGCTTACTTTTTAAAAAACTAAAGAGCTTTAGACTGCAATGCTATGTACACTTTCCAGGAAGCAAGTCCCACTGAAAGCAATGGGACTTACTTGAAAGTAGATGTGAGCAGATACACATATGACTACACTGTTAAACTTCTCGCAGGAAAAGATGAAGTTTAGTTGCTCTTTTCTGCATCATCCTGAAGCTTTGCAATTTCTTTTTAGAGATGAAAAGGCCAGAACTGCATTCCAAGTGTCTGTTCCCTTGAAAGTAGGGACTGCCAGTCATTTTTCTGAGGTCTAAAAATATATGTTTCACAGTTTAAGAATGAGTTTTTTGGGGGGGAGGGACAGAGAACAGACTGATCTGAAACACACAGGTTTCAGATTCAGATCTAATAGAAGTGTGTCTGTCTGAGGGATAGTGGTTTGTGAATTGCAGACAGAGATTCTAATGTTATCAAAAGATCAGGTTTCTAAATCAGTCTAAAGGAAGACTTTATTGATGATTACAAGTGCTCCCAGGACTGCAGGGAGATTTCTTACAGCATGGACTTTTTCAGATTTTAAGGTTGCCTTCACCAAATGCTTAAAAGCCCTGTTATCAGAGAGTCAGGGCACTGCCAGTGAGATTCAAGCAAGTTGCGCAATTTAAGATGATACACAATTTTTGCACAGCAAACCTGCTTTGCACCCCAAATCAGATAAGGAAAAATGAGGGGATCAGGCAAAGTGTGGGATAACATTTGATGCAACATCCTCTAACTTCCCTGCAAACAAATCAAGGAGGAGTGCTCAGTTCACCCTCAGACTAGAAACCAGAGGTGGGGAACCTGTTGAGATTACAACTCCAATCGTGACCACTGACCAAGTTATTTCCCTTATCGGAAGAACAGAAGCATGAGCCAAGGCATACAGCACAAAGTATTTGAAGATAGATCTTTCATTGGGAAAGACTGAGGCATTTCTTATGGGAAGCTTAAAATAAGTTTGGCCAACGAGAAGGGAATATACAACGGGGGGAGGGAGGAAATGCGTTTTTGGATTTATCTCCCACATTAACATCTACATGTTTCAGCGTGTCAATGACGAGAGCTCAAACGGGGCTACTCTTCGGCCCTGATAATGACGCTTCTTGGGGTGTTGCCCCAGGGTTAAACTGAACTCCTCCCTCCTGACAACCCAGAGCCAGTTGGAGCTGATGGGAGTTGTAGTCCCACGCAGCTGGAGCACCCCAGGCTGTAATGGACAGAGAACCACGCCTCGCCCCCTCGGAGATGCCCGGCGTTTCCCTCTGGTCTTGCCGCCCAGAAGGCCGCCGCGCGGGAGGCGCAGCAGAGGGTGGCCGGCGGCGCGCTGGGTGGCGCCTCTTTTTCTCCCCGCCAAGCAAGGGCAGCGCCCTCAGCTCAGCCTCGCCCAAGACAGGCCGTTTCCAGGGTTGCTCTGCGGGGCCCAACGACCGGAGGCGCAGGAGGCCTCCGCCAGCGTTTTGTTTGGTTTTGAGTAAGTCACGCGGCGGGGTCTTAGGAGACACCCGCCTCCCCTCGGCGGCTCCGCCCTTGGCAGGGAAAGAGCCGCTCGCGGGAAGGGAGAACCGACGGCTTTCCGTCGCCACCGGAGCAAACGCCGCGGTGCGCGCCCGTTTGCCGTCGGGGCGGTGCAAATCCCCGAGCGAGCAAAGGACGAACTCTCCGCCCTGCCGCCGCCGGCACCTGGAATAGCCCCACTCGCCCTAGTGAGCCGGGGGGGGGGCTACCGCGGAAGGCAAGCCCCGTTGAAGTCAGTGGGAGTTACTTCCCAGTAGGCTTGCAGCAGGGCCCGTTTGAGGCGCCGGCCCAGCCCGTTTTGTCAGCCAGCGCCCGCCCCCTTGCAAGGGGCCAATCCTTTTAAAAGGAGTTTTCCGCGGCCCTCTTCGCCCATCCCGGCCGCCGCGCGGCTGTGAGCAATTTTCGGCCCTTTCGATTAAATTAGCCCATTAGGCAGTGGCACCACAGGGCGCCCAAGAAAGCCTAGAGGAGGGCCGGTTGCGAATACCGACCCGCGGGGTGTTACGGTCGCTTTGGAAGCGCAGAGAAGGCGGGAGCGGCTGCACAGGCTTACTGGGGAAGGAGACGGACTTGGGTCACATCCTGGGCACCCTGTAAAGAGTGGGCCTTCTTTTTCCGTGGGAGTGTCCTTGGCACTCCGACGAACTATTAAGGAGGTTTTCTCGAGCAACCTGGGCTTGGAAAACACCAAGTGCTAAGATTGTTACTGCAGGGTTGAGGAATCCCCATTTTTAGCTGGCATCCCAACGAATGGAGTCAATACTAGAATTTCAGGTGCACAGAGAGAGAACTTGTGCGGTCTGAAGCCCCATGTTTACTAACTGCAACGTAAACCCCATTTAAGTTAATGGCCCTTACTTCCAAGTAAATATGCATGGAACTGCACTATAAATCACGTGTGAAAATGGTATTGGTTCTACCTGTAGTTCCATTTGTGGCAAAAGCCAGCCAAGCCCCCCCCCCCCCGCCACCAAAAAAAATGCGATGAGAAATGTGGGGTGGGAATTAGGGGATTCCAGCGGCTCCCCTCCCTCCAGTCAGGCGCTACACAGATACGGGGAAAGGTAAGAGCTTCGGTATTTCGTAGCATATATTTGACAGGCTTTCCTGGATTAATTCCAGGAAAGCAATTTATCCACGATGCCGGGCATAAATCTAACTTAAGTTATCCTACCCCATCAGAGTCGGTATTCTTCCCAGAATACACTGACCTGCAGTTTCCAAGGCTCTCATCACTTTACTCCCTTACGCCACGAGTAACCCTATTGCTTCCAAGGGGCTACAACCCAGCGCCTCCTGCTTGCCTGGAGCAGAGCGGCAGTCGCCATCCTTCACCCCAGCGTAAAGCAACCCAAGGTCTCCCAATGAAGCCCCGAAATCCTTTCCGCTGCCGCCTCACCTGCGCGTGGGCGGAGAGCGAGTCCTGCTCCGCGGCTCCTTTCCGGCGTGGGGCGCTTCAGTGCGCGGGGTGACGGCGTGGGGCTGCTGCTGCTGCTGCTCTGCTCCCAGTCCCTCGAGCCCATCGGAAGGAGAGGCAAGGAAAGCTCGGGCCCCGCTTCCGAATTGCAGGCGCACCGCGCTGTCTCCCATTTAAATGCCTGCCAGCTGAGAGCAGCGCTCCTGATCATTGGCCAGCGGCCGCCTCCCAATACGCCCCCTAAACGCTTCCAGCAACTCCCGCCAGGGAGGAGAACTCTCCTTTCTCCAAGAAAGCGACGCCCGGCTCCTCCCTGAACCTCCAGGTCAGACCGGCGCTGGCGGGCGAGGGACCCGCTGGCTGCTACCCGCATCCCCACGTGCCGAGGGACGCGCGACCGGCGGGGGCGGAACCCATCGGCAAAGACAGCGGGCGATAGTCTCCCCCTCTTGGGGGGGGGGGTTCCTCCTCCCGACACTGATGCCTCTGCTGGAGTTGGGCTCGAGGTCTTTAAGAGGCTTTTGCTCGCTTTCGAAATCTTGTCTACGGTACCCAGGCTTGCTTTAGAACTCTTAGCACAAGACCGTCTAAAATCATTGTCGCACAGCAGGGCGGAGCAGGACCATCAATCCACAGGCTTTGTGATATACGGTAGCTTGGTGTGTTCAGGAAAGATTGAGAGAGCTTGGATTCATACAGTCCTCCCACACACACTTTGGATTAAGTTCCAGTAATCACAGTGGTCTTTGTATGCAAGTAAATGTGCACAGAAGGATCACAAGCCAGAGACCTGAAAGTTCCCCACCCCACTCCTCCTCTTCCTCCTCATAATCCCAGGTTTTTAGGATTTCAGCCATGCAAATCAGTCCCAAGCATTTATGCTCAGAAATTAATCCACGATTTACTTCAGGCTAGTGGCACTATTCAAAAAGGTAAAGGACCCCTGACACTTAAGTCCAGTCGCGAACGACTCTGGGGTTGCGACGCTCATCTCGCTTTACTGGCCGAGGGAGCCGATGTTTGTCCGCAGACAGTTTTTCCCGGTCATGTGGCCAGCATGACTAAACCGCTTCTGGCAAAACTAGAGAAGTGCACGAAAACGCTGTTTACCTTCCCGCCAGAGCGGTACCCAAGCCTCAGTGGTTTACACCACAGCACCACCTGCATCCCTGATGATTGCTATTGGGAGACTCTAAAAGCCACCCCACAAGAAAGTAGACTATTAAATTAAATTAAACTGATGCTGTTATCAGCAAGAGTTCGTCACACCTGCATCCAGAAATGTATGTCTGGGGCAGATACTCTCTTGTTAGAGTTGTTTAGGTCTGCCAGTTAATGTTGGCAAAAGGAGACAAGAATGTTCTTCTGGAAGTTTTACTGCTAAAGTTCAATCAGGGATCGTGTTCGCTTATCACAGAAAATGTGCAATTGCCGCTGGTACATACCGTCACTCTGGCAGAAACTTTTGTCTATAACCTGGCTCTCCAGTTATCATTGATGGGGGTATAAGACAGGCAATCACTGGTTGAGGTGATAATTGCTTAGATATGCTACTCACTTTTTAAAAATTATTATGACTTGAGTATAGCTTGATATTTTATCATCAGGTATATTAACAGCCAGTTCTTCCTCTGGGCACCTACCTTTATATAGCCAAGAGACACTACCTATGCGGAAGAGGAAGGTATTCACAATCCGAAGGTGGGCACACACACAAACAAATAGGGATGGAGAAGCCTTGAAAGGTGGGTGAGGGAGAAGCCACAAACAGCTCGGTTGAGGCAGACTGAACATGGTCGCTGGGCATGGCATGGTAACTGAGTGTTGGGAGGGAGAAGGAGAATGAAAGAGATGTATTAAAAGTGACCTCGGGATATTATTGCTGTGTAACCAAAACAAGGCTACTGAGAAACAAGGGGCAGGTATCAGCAGCTCAGGGGGGGAAACAAGCATTGCAGAAGTGAGGTTTTTTTTTGGGGGGGGCACTCCAAAATAGCCCAGTGCTGACTATGTTCAGTGCTGAAAGAATGCTATGTAGTGTCTGTTGGGACCACTCTGCAGCGTTGTGTAGCCAGTCCTACTTTTTATATACTAATGTTATGTATTATTGTATAAAGGTAAAGGGACCCCTGACCATTCGGTCCAGTCGTGGCCGACTCTGGGGTTGCGGCGCTCATCTCGCTTTATTGGCCGAGGGAGCCGGCGTACAGCATGTGGCCAGCATGACTAAGCCACTTCTGGCGAACCAGAAATGCTGTTTACCTTCCCGCCAGAGCGGTACCTATTTATCTACTTGCACTTTGACGTGCTTTTGAACTGCTAGGTTGGCAGGAGCAGGGACCGAACAACGGGAGCTCACCATTATGTTAAATCACTGTAATTATTTTTTATTTTTATTTTTGCTTTTATCTTTATTTTTACAACTCATAGAATTGTAGGGTTGGAAGGGACCACGAGGGTTAGGTACTCCCAACTCTCTGCAATGTAAGATTATTTTGCCTAACGTGGGTCTCAAGTCTACAACCCAGAGTTTAAGAGTCTCCTGCTCTACCAACTCACTCTCTCTATTCCTCTGAGGAACTCAAGGTAGCATACTGTACATGCTTCTCCCCCTTTCCATTTTATCCTCACAACAACCTTGTGATGTAGGTTAGGCTGAGAGACTGTGATTGGTCCAGGGTCACCCAGTGAGTGTCATGAGCAAGTGGGAATTTGAGTCCTACTCTTTTAAGTCCTAGTCCGATGCTCTAGCTATTACACCCATTATTCACTAGGGGGGCCTTGGAAATCACTTTTCCTCTCTGTTTTGTTAAATTTTCTTCAGTCCCTTCTACAGGAACGATTCTTTTAGTCAGGTTAACTCTAGCATGATGCGTTGTGGAGGGCAGAGACCCCCTCCCACCCCCTACCCCAATCAAAAGAATGGAAGGGAATTGACTCAAAGAAACACATTTGTATGTCTTTGGTATTTCCAGAAGGGAGTTTATTGTGGAACTGGTGCTTCTCGTGCAGTGTCTGGCAGCACGGTGATTCAAAAGAAGAGACGAAGAAGAAGAAGAGTTTGGATTTGATACCCCACTTTATCACTACCCGAAGGAGTCTCAAAGCGGCTAACAATCTCCTTTCCCTTCCTCCCCCACAACAAACACTCTGTGAGGTGAGTGAGGCTGAGAGACTTCAGAGAAGTGTGACTAGCCCAAGGTCACCCAGCAGCTGCATGGTTCACCAGATTATGTGACATGGTTCACCAGATTACGTGACTACCGTTCTTAACCACTACACCACACTGGCTCTCCTTCTGCATCAGACCAGTGGCCCATCTAGTCCAGCCTTCTGTTCTCAAAGGGGCCACCCAGATGCCTGTGGGAAACCAGCAAGACCCGAGTCCAAAAACACTTCCCCTCCTGCAGTTTACGGCACTGGTATTCAGAAGCATATTTGCCTCCAAGT